CACTGGAGCCGAAGGTGGTACAGGACGTACCCCACAGCATCACAGAGAGAAAAGCCCGAACAAAGAGGCGCTACGACGAGGGAGCACGAAGTCTTCCACCACTGCAGCCGGGACAGCAGGTGCGAGTAGAAGTGGCACCAAACCGGAAAACGGCCGAGTGGAGGAGTGGCACACTTGTAGAGCGTGTGTCGCCGAGATCGTACGAAGTAGAAGTCGACGGAGCCAAGTACAGGAGAAACCGAAAGCACATCCGCGAAACGACAAAAGAACCAAAACCTTCATCAGATGAGGAAACAACAGCTCCAGCAACAGCAGAGTCGACAGCAGAAACGACAACGTTAACAGCAGCAACAACACCGTACGTCACGCGATCCGGTCGAACGGTCAAGGAACCAGATCGTTTGAACTTGTGAATGAACTGTAACCTGAGAATGGACAACGAATACGGACACTGGACTCTGATAGATTTCTAGTTTAGTGATAATGCATGCCAGGGAAAGATTGATAATGCATGAAACTTCAAGAGAAAGGAACTAACAAGTTTTGTAAACAAAGGGGATGTTACACGAAGTAAGAATACAGATAACACCCCTACACATTGTAATAGTATAGCCCATCCTGCCAAGTAACGCTGAGACCAGAGACTCGATCTCTTTATCATCTGGACGGCATTGAGCACTGTACCTACTAACACAGCACGTAGAATAAACCACTAGAAATGCACTGAATTTGTGGTGATTCCTGACGTGCAAAAAGCAACAACCTTCATCAACGTATCCTCGTTGTTTGTTTGTTTGTTGGCAGGTCCTTCCGGCCGGATTTCGTGTTGGTCCGACAACACTGCCGAGGGTTGGACGCTAACCAAGACTACAGGTCCGTTATACTCGGGCTCAGATGGGGCGCAATACCCAGTGTCAACACACTACTGTCTATCTACAACTTCATGGAGAAACCATGGGTGGTGAGTGTCTCTTGGTATTCTTCTTGCACAATTTTCTAAGTCCGAGATGACTGGAGTATAGGTGCACGTCGGAAGAACGTACTACTACGCCTGTGTGAAAGTCTTAATGTGCTGTTAAACGTCTGATGCAACGTTGGCCAAACATCCAACGAAAACCGTGGAAAATCCGGGTTTCGCGGTGGGGGGTTGAGCTCATGTAACTATATTGTCTACCATGATGAAACCTGGAAAGTGCTGGGGAAATATTTTATTTCGGTAACGTAGTTTTGACATTTTGCTCCTGCAAATTCATCATCACACTCACTCAGTCACTCACTCATTCACTCACTCACTCACTTGCATGTACATGTACCTTCGCTTGCTGGTCCACACGATGTACACTTGCATTTTGTTGTAAGGCCGCTAGGAGCGCACGTGAATGTTTAACCACTACATATTTCTCCATCTGTCCCTCCAGTACGCCCATCTCTTGCAAATAAGGAAGAGGCTTGGCAAGGAGAAGTTCCCGTTGATAGACAGGGCGTACTACCCGAACCACAAGGAAATGGTATGTGTGAGTACCTCCCCCTTCCATAGGTGTCACTGTCCAGTACAGTGAGCTGCTCCGCTGCGCATTTGTCCATACGTGTCTGATGGTTTCCTCGCGTTTGAGTCACCTCAAAGCTGTGTCGCTGGTAGAAATCTCAGTCCCTGCATTAGGAGCCAGTAGGAGAGTAGCCATTGGTAGCTCCTCTGTCCATCTTGTCTACAACGTACTCGTGAATACTGTTGTTGAAACCGCTGGTAGTGGTTGGTTCACAGTGGTAATTTATTATGAGCTTGAACTACTCGTACGCTAGCTGAAATCCGAAGGTCGTTTTGCGTATACCCAGTTTATAATTAGCATGTGGTAATTATAGTTTGAATGAAGAGGAGAAACAGGTGCTTTTGCAAACGTTTCTACAGAGCATCATTTAGCATTTGCCGCCCCGCTGTTTCTGAGGTCTGCACCTCAAGGCTTGGGTAATTTCAGGTCAGAGTTCAGTCAGCTAGTCTAGTTTTTGTACACAGTTGCTGGTTGGTGATTTTCAGGGTCCTTTGACTTTATCTGGCATCTGAATCATGAAATATCACAGGTTTGTCTATAGGGGTCTTATGACTCACGACATGTCGATATCACGCCAGTGTTTGAATATGCAATAGTACAAATCCAATAGATATAAACACAAACTTCCGGAATTAAAATGTGCGCGTGCGATGGTATTCAGTCCAAACGTAACAACTGAAATATGTTCTGTATCTGTATCTGTATCTGTATAGCCGGTATAACCGCCTTTCGGCGTAACACACCAGCTTCGCAGGCACGCGGCGCGGCGGCAGCTGGCTATATTACACCGATCGACTTGTTACACCTAACCCTTGAACTTCTAGCTCTAGACATTGTTTAAAGCTATCTATTGACAGTGCCCCTACTGTACTTGGTGACAGTGAGTTCCACTCTGCGATAGTTCTAGGAAAGAATGAATTCTTGAACACCTCAATCCTTGGTTGATAACTCTGGTACTTGAATGCGTGGCTATTTCTTGTTCTCTTCTGAGCTGGTGTTAGGTACTTAGTAGTTGGGACATCCACCAGTTTATTAGTCATTTTGTACATCATGCATAGTCTAGACATCTTTCTTCTGTCTTCAAGTGAGGTCCACTGTAGGTTTCTTTTCATTTCCGTGACACTAGCACCTCTTACATTAGTCTTGTCTTGTTACCTTAGTCTTGATAACATTACATTTGATTTAGTTTATCTTGGACTTGTTAAGCTTCAAGATCCAGCTATCAATATGCGCATGCGGTGAAGAGGCAGTCCACCACAGGACAAGCCTAGAAACGACATTGAAGTCTACTCATGATGTCTTGCGTGGGATTTTGTGGAATTGTCCTACTAGCCTAGTTGTATCGACCTTATACTTACCTACCTACCAAATTTCACAACAGTCATGTCTTGGCCAAGGTTACCTGTGCTACAGTTTATAAATAGACTGACGGTTTGAAATCTAACGTTGCCATAATACTTCAGAACACACAAGGCGGTCGCCATGCAGCTGTAATCCGGACCCGTGACCTCGGTCGTGAAGGTCACGGAAAACGGGGTCAAGGTGACCGACCTATCAGTGTGCAGATCCGGTGCGGATTTGTCGAAGCTCCGTCACAGCTGCCAGGTCTTAACCAGTACTTACCCGGCTAAAGGCTTTGTACTGCTGATAACATTTCCATATATAGTCAAGGTTAGCCTGTCCTAATTACTCATCGGTCACGAATCGCAAAACTCATAAACATACACATCAGAAAGGTGATAGAAACATAAAAATAAGTTTATTACTCTCGTTATTTAAAAACAGTCAACGCCCTCCCTTAAGCGTATATTACAGGATCTCGCTGGCTTCCAGTGAGCATTCTTCTAGTAGAAAAGCCGTTCGTGGGAAGTCTTTACAAAGTGACTCGCTTCCTAATGAAATATCCTACCATATCGTTGTGTACCACCTAGGCTAGGTATTAGCATCGAGTGCCACACGGCACCGTAAAATAAAATAATATTTACAAAAGGTACAACTTCTTTGTTACTGTGAAAAGTCAGTTCTGCAGTTTTGCGTAACATCAGATACAGACATTACTAGTATTTCGCTCGTCTCGTTGTTTGTGACCTGGGTTAATTGTGTTTCCCTTCTGTGGGATATAAGAGGATATCGAGACCGTCTGCGCAACTGAGTTGAGAGAAAGTTCAAAGTTCAGCCAGCTGCATCATGGGAAGAGATGGTCGGGGAAATCTGGGGAAAAGGTAGGGAAGTCGTCGTCCTCCAGCTCGGGTAGTCCCTCCTCCGGGTGTTGCGAGAAGGGGTCCTCCTCGCCCGGGTCGCTGTCGGGGTAGCCCTCCGCCGGCTCGTGGAAGCCTTCCCGCGCCACGGGGAACGCTCTCTCCTCACATTTCCTGAGAGACGGCGGGTGGAACCACTCGCAGCTGCCGTGACGCTGTTCAAAATTGAAAGAAAAAAATCTGTTATTACCTTCGCTAGAAGGTTATGTTTTCGGTAGCGTTTGTGTGCATGTGTACATGTGGTGGTTTAGCTCGATACCTAAAAAAAATTAAGAATTGTCATCAAACTTGGTACGAGATGGGCAGGCCTTGATGAGACCTCATGATTTTGTGTTCCCTGGCGGCTTGTTACTAAGTTACTGCAAACGTCCATTTTTTATTCGCTTGTATACTATAGCTAGATAATGCCTTTTCATCGAATGGTTGTCAAAAATTATTGTAGCGACGCTAGCTATCGGATAAACCTTATTCCGGACGTACGTACCTTGCGTATGCAGGCGGAGTGCACGGTGTGACAGTCGTAGGGCCAGCCGTCCAACAGACCCTTCCACACGCAGGTCTTGGGGCTGGTCGTGTCACAGCCGTAACCGCCGAAGAAACACGTCTGGATCTGTACGCACACAGGAAACGTATTTATGAATGAAACACAAACTTGAAAGAACTTAATTGCTCGGCAATCGTACTCGGTACACTGTATGACAGTTGAGACTACAAAGCTAATCTACAATCTTGAATGTGCCAGACGTGCTATAGATATACGTTAAGCATGACAGAGGAAGACCTTGTGTACTTACCGAGCAGTGGTCGCAGTGTTTGTTGTACATGTACTTGAGCCCGCGGCGCTGCTTCACGGTGACCTGGGACCACTCCACGTTCCACCCGCACGCGCCACCTGAAATCTGCCTCGTGAACGTGCCCTGTACGGGGAGAACAACACAGACGATCAACCCTCTACTTCAAATCATCGTAAAACATTTGAACCATTGCTTATTCATGAGAATCTCAAATTGGCCTGCAGGCCACTTTTCTATGAAGTTATGAGGGAAGAGGTAAGGTTCAGACATAATATGCAACAAAGATACAGTTTTGCAATGCCGTCCATACCTTGTAGAGTATGTTTGACAACGTTTGAGACAGGCAGGTAGTTCTTTGTGTACACGTTTTCTTTTTCTGAGACTGATTCTTATATCTAAGTAAATATCTTGACCCAATACAAATCAAATTATCGCTCTCATCCGAGATTGGTAATTTAGCCCGGTTTCATGCACACGTCCCGCGGCCGCTAGGTGAATGACCCCCTGTTTGCTTGAGATATTCCAAGCAAACCTGGCCTTGAAAGTTGTTTATCTACACACCCGTGTTGCTAAGGGACTCCGATATCATCTTGGCGATCTTCCGAAATACTTTCTAAGTCAACAAATAACGGCTTATCTTCTCCTAAGGCCCGCAAAGGTCGTAGGTGGAGGATATGGGGCACTATCTTACTGTTCCGGAACGCGTGCTTTGTTACCTTCGCCAAGAAGGCTGTGTTTTGTGATAGCGTTTGTATGAGTGTAAGTATCTAGTTTCGCACGATAAGTCAAGAAGCTATGGCTGGATTGTCATGAATCTTGGTAGGTAGGTAGGTCTTGATATGTCCTCGGAACAACGATAAGATTTTGGGGGGGCCCTGGCGGCTTGTCATGGTACTGCAGTGGCTTTTTATGTGGTAACTCGTTAATCCAGGTTTTCAATATAGCAGTGAGTGTGACGTTAAGAATATAATGTAGACCCCCCCCCCCCTCACACACACACACCCTTAGCAAAAACCTTCCAGTATCTTAAGGTTGTATAATTGCTCCATTTGTATTTCCACCATGTCCACCAAGGCTTGTTCCCGATACGATGAATGTCACCGTGACTGGCGCTTGTGGGACAGACTGACATACAGCGACT